TTGGACTATTCGACAGTTACGGAGAAAGGAATTAACAGGTCTCTTTATTTACCTGACCTCATCCACTGCAACTACTTTCTGTAGGGCACATTGAAGGACACTTCATGAGCTGGAGGAGGCTATTTGTCAAGCTTGTGTGTCAGTTTCCGGTGATTAACAACAGAGAGTGATTAAGAATTTCATTCTTCGTTTGCGAGATGTGTGTTATGTGAAAGGTTTACATTTTGAATCATTTTTGATGTGAATGCAGCAAAAGTTTGAGTTAGCCCTATGCACAGCCTACTTATGGTAATGCCACCCACAGCGTCATTTATCAGAGATATTTTTAGGTTTCTGTACAAGATTCTTACGGTTTGTTTTAATAAACATACCACTTGTTTTATGCTTCTATCTATCAACATATCCAAGTTATTTATTTTCAAAGTTAGGGGTCCTTTGTGAAACACCCTGTATTAAAGAGTACTAAAAGTGAGTTGACATGGAAAGCTTTGATACAAGAAATTTAGGTTCCTTAAAGAAACATTTTTTAAAATGTCATACGAAAGAAGTCATATAAAATCTAATGTATCATAATCTACAGATACTCTCATTAGTGAAAAAATATTAACATTTCTTGTAAAAAAAATCAGGCAACAGCAAGTTTAAAAGTGTACCTGATAGCACAGCTTAGCCTTTTTGTCTACAGAAAAAGAAAACGATGTTAATTTTGCAGAAATCTTAGAAAATATTACCTGAACTCACAAGATCTTACTGGTGGCTATCGATCAGAAAATATAATTTTATGTTACAGATATACATAAGTTCCTGGTATATCAAATCAGGGTATTCGTGTGTTATCAGAATCGGATTCAGAAGTGTATGTATATATGCACATGTGTACGTACGTATATGCATGTGTGCGTACATACAGAAATGCATATGTACAAACACATATACATGTATACATGAACACATACTACATCCATATATACATGCATATATTTCTGGACCTAGTCCCAATAACAGAACAGTACCCAAATCAATTTTGATAAAAACTGTATATATGGATCTTTACCTCTAAAATATAGATTTGCATTCCATTCAGGAAGGGGGCTAGAGAACATTGAACATTTTCCCATGCCAATAAAATAAACCTCCAGATTTCTGAGAACAAATGAAATTAAGTTTTAAAATAAAAGCTGTTTACTTTGGCAAGTAATAGTTACATTTTGGGTGAAAAGTGTTGAACATTATTCTATAAAACAAAATTTGAACAAAGGGAGATTTATGAAGATTATGTTTTACAAAAAATAACTGCACATAGAATCAGCATAAACTTTTTTTGAGGTAAAGGAAAACTGCACACCTTCCAAGAACATATCATGCATACCTCTCAGATAAATTTACTGCACACAAATTTTATCGTTTAATATCCATGAAAAACTGACATTTTAAGCATTACAATGTTCACATAAAAGTTCCTATTTTAGCACTTAATAATAATTTATCTAATTTAATGAAACTGAATTCTTTTTAAAGATTACCAAATGTGTATTTTTAGTTTTTGGCAACAGATGAAGTATTGAAGATAAAATGAAAAATACAAAATTTTATGGTTAAGCACAATACATATGCTGCAATTACTCAAAATAGGATGCATGATTAGTATATTCATACTGAAGATTGTTCAAGAATTTCATTCTTTAACATTATTGTGACTTATGCACTGAAGGGGTTTTTATATATGCAAACTAATGAATGGATCATTAAATGAAACTAAAATATGACAAAACACTGCAATTTATTTCATGTAATTAATTGAAAGGACACATTTAAAATCAGTATTTACTGAAATAAAGCCCTTAGCTACCTTTTTTTAAACACCCTCCAACTATCAAACAGAATGCAAATCTAATTTTTCCAGCTCAGTTTGTCAGAAGTAACACTCAGATAATACTACCACTCTGCTATTTTAAACATTAAACCAGTTTTGGAAATTTATGAACTAACAGAAGCTTGAGTTACCTTAATACATTATTCAAATTTATATTAATGCAAAATTTTAAATGCTTCTTGATAGTATTTTGTCATGGTATTTGAGAAAATCTAAAATTAAGCTATGTAAATCTTGTCATAATCTTTTACTTTCAATATGATTTTCTAAAAATAAAACTTTATAACATCATTAAATGGTTTTGCCCAAATGTATGCTAACTCTCAGAAAATTTAAAGTTATCTAGCATAGACTTATGGTAAGCTAAAAGTAGCTTACTTTAGTCTAAGCTTATTTTCAACTTATTATTTTATCAAAGTATAATCCATTGTGACCAGCCATTGTACTATTGTAATTTCTTTTAATACAGTGAAATCATGTTCTAATACCTGATGCAGTTTATCTTCTATACATATTCATAACTACACCAATAACTTAAACACATGATTTATTAAAAACTTGATTTTTGAAGTCTGATACTATCAAAAAAAGATGAGCCTAAATTTGACTTTTTTAATAAGATATAAAAGTAACTTAAATACATGATTTATTAAAAACTTGATTTTTGAAGTCTGATACTATCAAAAAAAGATGAGCCTAAATTTGACTTTTTTAATAAGATATAAAAGTATATATAATGCAGTAAAATATAAATACAGAAGAATGTCCTACATTTTGAGAATTTCCTTTAAATTAATTATACTCAGAATTATCTTAAAACACCAGTGAAATATATTAAGTGACTGAAAAAATATAAGTTGTTAAAACATATGCAATACTACTTCTAGATAACTACTTCTAGATCAGCATTTCATTTACGCTTTTCAAAAAACAAATGTTCGTCTACTTCATATAGACAACATTGTTTAAAATATATTTCCACTGCTAAAATACAAAACTTTTAGCATGTTTCAAAATATTATAGATTCACAAATTCTAAGCTTGTCACAATTTTTCCACTGAAGAAAACTGCAAAGTAAGTGAATAACTGATCAATAAATTAAACTTATATGAGAGAAGATATTAGCTGAGCACATTAAACAGGTCCTCTCAAATAATATTCTAGAGCTGGGATGACAAACCTAGGATACATAGATGAATTCTATTAGTGTACTAAAATTATAAAAAATAAACAAAATTACACCTAATAATATCTGTGTAAATGAATTAATATTTGAGATTATACATATACTTTTACTAACTTCTCCTTAAGTTTAATTTAGTTACATTTGAAAATGTAAAACGTGCTATCCAAAATTTACTGATACTAAAATTATCTGTAAGTCTCAGTAGCTTCTATCACCCTCAAAAAACACCTTTTCCACGTGTATACAGCTTCTTCGAATGGTTCTTTCCCTGTTAATATCTGTAGTGCGAAACTGTATGTTCACACTACAAGAGACTGTAGGGTAATACCTGTATTTTACTCTGTATTTCTCAATATTAAAAACATAAAAATCTGAAAGAGCCAAATTCAGAGAAACAGGGCTGATATATGAGAGGTATATTATTACTCTGCTTAAACTCACACACTGTTCACATCTTGTTTACTGCAGTGTTATCCACATGGAGAAGTCAATTCCATAGCCTTAGTTGCTGTATATGCTAATGCTGCTACCACAAAATATTAGATAAGAGAAATTTGTGATGAACAAGGAAAATGTCACAGTGGTACACAATTTCTTTAATGGAGCAATTTGATTTTTTGACATGATCCTCAATTCCATAGAATTCCATGGTACTTGATGAACACTTATATCAACAAAGTTTTCATTAAGTACTTACTGCATTACATCACTGCAATTGTCATTACTGTCTCTGTCGCATTTTTAAAATAGCCACTTCATAAGTTGAGTCCATAGACATGAAAAAGATCTGATGAATAATGAAACTATCTAGTAAATTTTGAATAGCAATCTATATATTTATTTCATAAATTCAATATCACTTAAATAAGTCAACATTAGGCAGGTTCTGTGAAGTATAAAATTAAAAAGCTGACATACTATTCACGTTCATTCATTCAAAATGTAAAAATATTTCATTTTGCATATATATCCCTTACCAATTTTTTACTAAGAAAGTAATTTAGGGACAGGATCAAAACTATTTATTATATATGGAATTCAAAATAAACATAGAAAAATTATCGATAAGGACCAGATAACTCGGTAATTAAAATAAGCAAAACAAATACACAAAACAATTAGCAGCAAACTATCAAAATCGCTAACCCAAAAAAAAAAAAAAAAAATGAAAGACAAACTGGTAAATAATAATCAAGTAAAGTAAGTAATTAATTACAAACTACAAAGCTATCAAACTATCATCTACCTACCTTTTATTTTTTTATCAGAACATCACAGCTCAAAATAATAATTTTTTTAAAGAAAGAAGAACCTAGTTTCTGATATAGCAATAACAGAAATTAATCATAATTAAAACTAACAAAAAAAATGAGAATTTGGTAGTACTACTTATATCAGAGCTCAGTAATGTAATAAATGTCAAAACTAGAGATAAAGAATGGTGAACTGATAAATAACTACATGATATTGAAAAAAATAAGACAAATTGAGTTAAATCTTCTAATATAATCAATCAGTAAGGAAAATTATCTTTTAAAATTCATACTTGTAAAAATGCCACAGATATTATCAAAGGTTTCTTAATAAAATTTTATGATAAGAGCTTAGAAAGATTCATCATCCTTGCTCTAGAATGATTACAATAAAGACCAGATTAATGAGGTACAATTTTTGCACAATACAGCTCAAATCTTCTCTCATTCAACAGTACTTAAATTAAGAAAAAAAAAAAAAAAAAAAAAAAAAAAAAAAAAAAAAAAAAGAAAAGAAAGAAAAAAAAAAAAAAAAAAACAATATTTTTCCATAAATTGTAAATTGGGCAGACACACAGTGAAAACAGTAGCTTAGATTTAGGAAACCTGGAACTTTTTTTGGGGGGCTGGACATAAGGATTATGAATGTTTATGAAACAGTAGACATAATGCAGACATTCTACATCATATTTTTTTTCATAATTTATTACATACAAAATTTGTTTTCTAAGTTAGCTAAACATATACACAAAGATGTGTTTTAAAAGCAAACACACCATTAGTTCATAAAGAAGACTTTGTTTCAAATCTACACCAAACATTAAAAGAGGACACACAAAATTTGTTCACTGACTGAACAATTCAGTGTATACAGTCATGCATAATATTTTTTTGCTACATTAGGCACTTCTTTAAGACACATTAACGCTTGTTTTTCATTCATCACTTATTTTACTTAAAAAGAATACAGGTATAATATATATTGCTAAAAAATTAATCCAATATGGATAACAATATTTTATTGTCCCAACTGAACATTGGGCAATAAATGAACAAAAGATTTGTATAGTAATTTCATTATTTCAATAAGGAAACAACAGACTTAAAATTAAATTGCAAACTAAAAAGATTAAACGGCATAAAAAGGATAATCATACTCATCATTGAGTTGTCTAAGAATTAATTTTGGAATGCAGTAAATTAAATACAAGTATTAAGGCATTAATATAAGTATTACTGCAACACATGTTGATTATATACCTTCATTTACAAAATATTCATTAAATAATGATTATCAAAGGCATAAATTTAATTTTGCATTAACATTAACTTTTTAGGTGTGGCTAAAACATTGATTACATATTAATGAATAAAAAGAGGCAACTTGTTACCTGTTTCTTACATAAATATTTATGTATCACCCAGAATGACAGCCAAAAACTGATTAATAATAAGGCTAGCAGGGCCTGGTTACCACCTAGATCTACAAGGCCCAAGCCTAGAAATTCCAGATCAGGCTGCAACTCCTCATAATCCTGATTTTCCCCCAGAAATACAAGGTAAGAAGTTCCACTAAAAGATTGCTGTGACTACGTCTCCAGGCTCTGGTAACCAGACTCAGGGTGGTATGAATAATTATAAGAACACAATTACATTTTTATAGAGCATATCATTATTGTTACTGCAATATGTTGTATGTCAAAAGATGCCCCTTTTAAATTAAGACATTTAATATAAAGTAATGATATGTAGCTTCTAATAAAATCTGCATGTGGCAGGAAAGTGAATATGCATGAGTAAATTTATCCCATATGGGCTAAAATCTTTTATAAATCTATTTTATTTTTTACATCTCTTAAAAAGTTGCTTTTTTGACATATGAGCAATTTAATACATTAGCAAATTCTATAGCCTCAACAAAAATTAATAACATGGCTAAACCAAAGAAGCAGAGCCAGATTTAGACTTGATACTGCCCTAAGCTATTTGAGATATGGGGCCTTTTATAAGTGTTAGACTATATTTTAATTTTTTTGGGGAGGCCCTAAGAAAGTGGAGGCCTTAAGCCATAGCTTATTTTACTATCATTCTGGGGAGAAAAATTATTATGATTTACACACTCCTGTTGCAAGAATAACATTTTAAATAACAACATTTATTACAGTTCCCTAAATCATAATTTGGCATCTACATACTAAACAATTAAACTCTGAGAATTTTGTTTAAATTTCTTTTATAATCACATTTGAATCATTACACAGAACTAGCAGCAATTTCAAAACAGACATATCAGAAACTGAATAATACAAAACATACTTTACCTTCAAATGAAAAATGCATAGTAAAGAATATGTAAGATTACGAGTGTTGTATTTAAAAACTAATACCGATTTTTAAGACATCAAAATATAATTTTTTAGTATGCAACTATAATGTGTACTTATCAAATTATAAAAAATATTTATTACTGCAAGTATAAGAAAATACAGATTAATTTCAAGACAGCAAAATTTGTAAATTTGGAAGATTGCTACTTATACAAATAATAATGTGTTTCTCAAGAAATAAATTCTATGCCATAATATTTTAATTCTTTATATCATAAACGAAGAAAAACTATATATATAAACAGACTTATTTACTTAATTTGGAATCTATTGTTCCATATGTATATCCATACTCTGCCTATTGTTACTAGAGGACTATTAACTTTTTTTTAAATTTATTTTTCAAGATAAATACAGCAATTTTATATGATGTGAAATAGCATCATTTACATGTATTTATGATATACGGATAAAACAGTACATATTTTTAACTTCCATGATAAAAAAATACATATTTCAATATATGCAGACCACACTATAATAGCACAATCATTTTTTATTGATAATATAAAGTCATACTAAATAACTGTAATTGTAAGACAATAAATGTTTAATAAGTAACGACCAGTTTTACTAGATATATAATTTGAGCATTTTATAATCATATTTTTAAGTTTAATTTATTACCTATGAAAACATATTTACATGCATGCAACTTTCTGAATTCAAGCATTCGACAATGAGGTAATCTATGTATTAGCATCTGAAATTTTTAAATTAGGGAAGGCGTTAACCTGGCAAATATTTACTATAAAAATTTATCATTCAAATTAATACTCTTTGCTAATACTAATTTTGACAAATTCTACTTTAAAGTGGTATGTGTCGAGCTTAATTTGAATTTTCTGATAAAAAGAAGGAGGGAATTTAACATTAATTATGGAGTTAACATACAAAAATTTCTAAAATCATTTTTGCATAGCATAAAAGATTACCTTTTTTTTTTTTTATGTAAGCCTTCTAAATGAAGCATAATTTAACAAATTTGATGACTTAAGCCTTTTCCAAGTACAAAGAAATTTAATTTCTTATTTAAAAATATACCTGAATAATCAAATGCTTCATTCAGAGTTGGTTTAAATAGACTATCAGATCTTAGTTTATCTTTACCTTCATTCATTATCACATAAGTATCTTTTTGCATCCGATTAGAACTACAAAATGTATTTAAATCTATCAGGGTAGAGATTTTAATGTTATTCTGTACAGGACGAGTGCAGTCAGAGTGCGTGCACAAAGAAGAAATTTGGAGTGGCAAAATTTTGAAGGCACGGGTGGTAGAAGATGCTGTCGGTGTCAAAAAGGACTGCTTTAATTCTATGCTTTCTTATTCTTTCTTTAGCCCTCTTTTAGTATACAGGCTGATTTTTTAGCTATGCTTAGGAATGGTGGGGAAAATAAAAGTTAAAAAAAAAAACTACTATGATGAAATGACCATACAAGTTTAAATGAAGGAATGCCGGTAGTTGTGTTCTAGTGAGTAGATTCCAGTGGCAGAGAGTGCTATTGCCTTTCAGTTGTTCTCTAGTGGAATGCATATGAGCCAGATTTTTCCTCACTAAATCTCACATGAAAGCATCTCTTACTCTATGCAGGTAGCCTTTGACTAAATTGGAATAAATATAATTTTGTCATGAAATATTATATGACAAAAATCAAAACACTGAATTTCTATTAAAAATAATTAACATATAGCAATTTATTATTTTATTTTCCTAATTACATTCACTTCGAAAAATGACAGGTTCTCAATTTCAAAATATGATATGTCCTCTAATATCCAAGTATGGAGTTCACTTTACGTTTACATTTCCAAAAAACTGTATCAGAAAAAATCACATCCGCAGCCTTGAAATATAAATAACTGGAACTTTCATGAAGTTTTCACACTGTGATAATGCCATTTCAAAAGAATTCCAAATTGGCCAAAATTAACTTTATAATGAATTATTCAGGTTACTGAAATATTTATAATATGGCTCTGATATAAAATACATTAAATTCTAAATTTAAGATTAAAATATGATTCAAATAAGTGGAAAGTGTTCAATTGCTGTATCAGCAATGAAAAATTAAGTACATGAATGAAATGCCATTTAAACTAGATAAAAAGTGACTTTTTTCCCAATGAGGGTACTTTATGACAAGCATTGTTTAACTTTGCACTCCTCACAGTGAAATTTTTAATAAATTCTCTAAGTCCCTGTCCCAAGCAAAAAAATCACCAGGTACCCACTCATTAAGGAGTAACTGAAATCATTTCAATTAACATTTATTTCATTTCTCCTTTTTAGTTACAGTAATATTTAGGTATATAAACTATGCATACTTCCTTAAGGTGAACTATATTTATCCCAGTTTTTCCAATGCAATTTTGTTGTACGTGCAGTGTTTTGATGGTGTAAATCTTGCGTTTGGCAAAAGTTGACTATACATATACTATTGCGTGGATAAACCTAGCAATATACCGTTTATTGATGTAAACAAAATTAAAAGTTGACTATACATATACTATTGCGTGGATAAACCTAGCAATATACCGTTTATTGATGTAAACAAAATTAAATGCAAATATTAACTAATTCAATCCTAGTTGAATCTTCATAAAAAATCCTACAAATGTCTACAGTAGATTAAGATAGTTCAGAATAAATAAAATGTACCATGAAATACTTTGCTGAAGAAAAGGGGTGGGAAAATGGAATTTGCACAATTTAAGTTTAACTGATTCAATAAATTTAATTTACTGCAGGCAAACATTTTCCTTAAGACAGACTAAAAAATTAAAAACCAGTATAGTTAGTAGCTATTACACTATTGCATGGATAAACTTTGTAATGTACCACATAATAATGCAAAATAAAATTAAATACAGATATTAACTGATTACATATTAGGTGAGTCTTTATAAAAAGATCTACAAACATATGCAGTTGGTTATGACAAGTGAGAGGAGGGGGAAAATTAAGGAAAAATAGCTTAAAATCACTATGGTTTGGGGCGAGAGAATGGTATTTACAAAGTTTTAAGTTTCACATTCTGCTGGGAAACATTTTCTTTGGTAAACACTAAAAATCAAAAACCAAAAGACCAGGACATGCAATAAAAAACCAGCAGTCTCTCAATTAGAACCCAGAGCTGGTAGCTATGAAAAAATGCATAAACTAAGATTTGAAGCATTTAGACCAACTCTTCACTAAAACAAATAATAAACTGCAGTCACTGTATACTAATGAATTCACAAACCTATGACTCAAATAATTTTGAGAAGCACTGATTTAAGGCTAAATATCTGTATCAATTCCACTTATTAATTTTTGAAAAATTACAAAATTAAGTACTCATATAGTTTCTGATATCTGTTTAACAATATAATACTTAAAACTTATTATCCCAAAGAAAATATAACAACTGCATAGAAAAGCATAAATAAGGTTACATTTTCAAAACAGTTAGCTTTTCATTTTTTAAAATCAGATCACATATTCTTAAATAAATGAATACACTTTCTTAATTATATATATATATATATATATAAGTATCACAAAGGAAATGAGCAAGGCAGGTGACTATTAGGAGGTCACAGTTCATTTTAACTCGAAATAAATTAACAAACTGATCTGCACACATAATTTGAATTTCAAACTGCATATATATTCATTGTATTCATCAAGCAAAATAATTATTAATACAGTTTCCTATGTATTTTATAAAAATATAATTCTTTTCAAATAATGATTTTATACTGCCGAAAACTTTTGGCAGAGAAATTTCACATTCTTGTATGACATACACTCAAATTCATTTTCCTTAAATTCTGTAATATATTTCTAAAAATGTAAGGCAATTCAAAAGTTCTGGACATATTTAAAAAATTATATAAAAAAAAAACGAAAAGAAAATATAGACAATCAAAGTTGTTAGGTGCAATTGCAGAACCAAAAAATACTTTTTATTAACTTTTATAAATAAATCTTTTGTTATTCACAACATCGAGCATATATTTAATTTTAGCTGAAGTAAATTTCTTTCATGTCTGTTCTGGTAAAAAATTCAGTTTAAAAAAATTTTAATTTAACAATAAGTGTTTAATTTTGCACTGCTGTATTTATATATATATATTTTAATGTTTCTATTAATTTTTTAAAATGTGTCATGAACTTCTGAAGCATGTTGCACCTCAAATGGTTTACTGTTATGCAAATTATGATTTTAAAGGTACTTAAAGGTATTTTTAATAAACAAGAATTGCTTAGAAGTTTATGGCATTCATCTTCTTCATATCTGATTACAATGATTCAGTTACCATTTGCATTATAATTCTCAATCTTTTTTAAATTGGATTTATTATTAATACACACTTTATATAATTGAATATAAATTAAATTATGTACACTAATGAGGCAATTAATTTGGTAATTTAAGGACAAATTTTTATACAATCTTTAGAAACGTTTCCTGCAGTCACCATTTGCAGTCTTATAAAATATTACAATCACACACATTTTAGAAACTAATCTACATATTTACATATATATACATGAGACATAATGCACATGACTAATTCTTCCAACACTGCAACCAAACATAAATTGGATTTACAAACTATTTTATGCTATTATATTCACCTGTCAGCCTGCTGACTACACAGATTTCAATAACATTTAAATTCTACATTCAAAAAAAAAAAAAAAAAAAAAAAAAAAAAAGGGGGGGGGGGTGAAAGAATGCTAAAAAAAATTACAATTACTTCAAAAGGCATATCACACAAAAACAGTGCAAATGATTTTGATACACAAACAGGAAAAAAAAAAAAAAAAAAAAGGTTTAAAAAAGGAAAAATATCCCTGATATGACCAAATATGATTTGCAAGCTACCAGTACTTACAGAAAAACCTTGTTTAATGCGATTAATTAATCTAACAGTAAATGCAGGCAAATTAAAAATATTTAATGTTTAAAAGTATGACTAAATAACTTTTTTATCCCCATTCCCCCAAATAAATATGTTCGATTGAGCATTCCTTTTTAAACTGGTAATGAAATTTGAAATGGCTAACAAAATTTTATCAGACATTATGAAGTTTCATTTTTTACAAGAATCAATACCAAACAAAAATTTTTCAGTAAGCTCAGTTTGACTAAAACTTGCTTCTGTAATCAGTTTCTATGTTAAAACACTTTTTCATTCACATTTTTCATCTTTCTTCTTTAGATACACATTGCTATAGTTGAAAGAGCACTCTCATATGATTATTTTGAATGGGAACTTGGAAAAGTTTCACACATCTTTAATGATCATGTTAAATATTTACTTTCCAGTTGCATTGATTTCTTCAATAATGTTATCAGCTGGATTATTAAAAAGGAAAGAAATCATTTGCATAGTGGCTAGCATTGTTGATGTATGCTGGCAGCTGAATGATAACAAAACAATTTGAGTTGCCAAAAATAAGCACTTTTAATTGATTAATCACTAGCTTAAAAGAGCAGGAAGCAGTATCATTTTATGTGCTGATTGCTGCACATACTATTGCATACAGCCTGGTTTTCTCATAAGTAAAAAATAAAACCCATCAAATTAGCAATAAATCATACTTGCCCAAATGTTTTAAAATTCAGATGCAGAAGAAATTAATTAAATTTATTAAATTAATTACAATACTCTTTCAGAAGAATGGAAATTTGAAATACAGCTTTAGAAGCTAATAATTTAAAAAGTCAAAAAGCTTGTTTCAGCCATTAAAATCACTTGTCAGAGAATGTAAAAAAGATTTTTTGCATGAATATACAAACTACAAAATACTTTATTTTAAGAAGTGGGGGAACAAAATGATGATTTAATAAGAGGAAGCTACTATCTATACAATCAATAATTAAAAACAGATATTTAATATCTATTTAATTCATTTAAAAAATGCATATGCTTGTTAACTGTTTCTAATTCATATTTTAATAAATGAACAATTAATAAATTCTAAGTTATGCCAGTTAGACATTTTGGGCTATAATAAAATAACCCCAGCATTTATTTAAAAAAAGGGTCATTAAAAGTTCCTGACAATTTTTTATACATTTGCTGAATTAACTAAACACCAAAGAACAAGTGTTGTTTAATTATTTTATCTCAAAAAATGTTAGAAAACTTTTAGGAATTTTGGAATTCCTATCTAGTTGTTCAATGAATTGTTCAATGATAAATATATAATAATCAAATAAATATTAAAAAAATTGGTACTTTTCCGTTTTGCCGGCGCAGGCGATAAAGTCGCCAATAATGGTGTAACTGATCCCAAACGGAATATCCTCGCTGGTAACCTTTTACACCTCATTTTCAAAACCAATCGCAGCAATTTCTTATCAGATTGATTGTTTCTTTCAATACTAGCATACAATTGAATAGAATTTTAACCCAGAGAGTTCAATTTTATGCCCTAAGGCCATTCGTGGTAATTAACTTAATTAGGATGCAATCACACTGCTCACCCCAAAGCGGAAATATAGAAAAGGCAGAGTTAAATTCATTATTTCCATTAAGAATGCACTAGCGAAGTAAACCACTGCGGTCTTACGTAATTTCTGAGTAAGCTATTTGTACGAATTGAAATAATTCTTGCATTTACAGTTGCATTCCGAATTAAGATTTAACTTGAAATTAACGTAGATAATTACTGAGAGAATTAGATTTTTGTAGCGTAGTTTACGTGAGATGAGATTACTTGGGGTCACGTGATATGAACCGGCGAATCAAGATGTTGACCATGAAAGCATAGTACTTTCTTAATGTCTTTTTACAAATTGTCTTTATTTATTGGCTTTTTTACAAAATTTTAAACGATATTAAAATGTTTATGCCTTCAAAATAAAAAAACCCCTTAGATTACATTTGTTTGTTCTTTAAGGATCCTTAGATTATATTTGTTAACAATTTTTATGTGTATACTGTATGTTGTCGCCAGTAAAGTCTGCTTGGTGAGATTTGCGCCGGCGAAACGGAAAAGTACCAAAAAAGGTATATATATTCCACTTTAAAATAAAATACAGAACACTTTTAATATTTAAGTTAAGGTTTGTTAAATTATTTTGTTTTAAATGAAATGATTCAAAGAACAAACTCAAATATACAAGTACGGAAATAATCAGCAATGTAATATTAAAAGTTCAAGCAGCAAAATGGCTAGCTTTCCTAAAGTAAAAGCATTTTTATTATGAAAGTTGTATGTTAGCATGAATATCTAATTAATAATTATAAAAACAAAGCTCAATTACTATTAAAAATAACACAGTTTAAACCTACATTTAAAAATCGCACCTCAGCAGATTATTTAGCATTTATAAATTCAAATAAGTATCAAGTAGTTATTTTCATAAAATTATATAACCAAATAATTCACATCATAGCAAACTGTGATAAGCTATGAAATTAATAGCTATGCCAGTAAGGTGAGTCAAAAAAATATTAGGGCACACACACATGAAATTTTTAACTTTTAAAAAAATGAAAAAAGAAAAAACTTTAATAATGAATTAAGAATTCTTTCCCTTTTATGACTTTATAGAATTGTTTAGACATAGACTCCACAACATTCTGACATGGATTTGCTTCTATTTTCCCCCATTCTCTGCATTCATTTCTATTGAAAAGTTTAAATTTATTATCTTGCAAATGATGTCAGATATGATCAATAAAGAATTGACATTTGGTTTCTATGCAGCATTTTGATAAGAATTACATAGTTTGCAAATGCCAGCATAATGCTTGGGATTATTGTCCTAATAAAGCTGGCAATGCAACAATATGTCATTTTTTAGCTGTTTCTCAAGTTTTCTTCTTATGTACCTAAATATATAAATTTATCCATTTTACCATCAATAAAATAAAGATTTCCATTTCCCCAAGCACTCATAATACAACCCCAGACCATTTTTCACTACATACACCAGTTTTACTGAGGGAGAAAATTTTTCACTTGAAGCCCAGCACTGGGTTTTCACCATAACATTTGCTTTCCATCACTCCTGAAAATACCAAATTTACTTTTTTCTAGAAATGTAAGAAATCTACTATAAGTCTTGAGGTTTTTTTTAATATAGGTCTTAGCAGATTGTAATTTAACCTTCTACTCACTTTGCTGAGAAATGGTTTCCTCATAGCTATTTGGCTAAAGAACTTGTATTTTCTTAAAATATTCCCAATATTTTCTACATTAGCAGACTTTCTAAACACTTGTTAGGCTTTTAAAGTCAATTTGACATTTTTATGATTGCAAATAATATTTTTTAATGACCCACCTTTCTTCATATTCAGTGAAATGCAATAAATGTCCTCAGTTTGTGATAAGTTTTCAATCAGATTTGTTTTACAGCATTTCAGAATTATGTTATGAATGATAGATTTGCTTACATTCAATAGCTTACCTATTTTGGTCTCAGATTTTCGGCAATTCTAATGAAAATAAATTTTATCTTGTTAAAAGAAACCTCAGATTTTTTTTTTCACACATAAATAATGCAGCTCCTCAACCTTTATCTATTTCAGGTAAAATCTTTCTTTCACACATTTTACAAGAAAAGTCTAGAACTAGCTTTATCATATTTATCACCACACCACCATGATACTTTTCTAACCTTAATTTTACATTTAAAATATTTCATTTATTTAATTTTACTTGTCAAAGCATGGTATTTATACAATAAAAAAAGAAAATATTCAGCTTTGAAATAATAGGTGAATTTTTAGATGTAAGTTTCCAATGCTCTAATACTTTTTAGAGTTACTGTTAAGTCCAAAATATGTTACCTCAACTGCAAATAAAAAGTCTGTGCTGAAAATCGTGCTCTGTAATAAAGGTGACAGTAAACTGACTACTCTTAATGTATAACTTAATAAAACAATATCTCAGCAACACCTTTAAGACAACGAGAAATTAAAATCAGCAATCGTTTGATCCATCAATTTTAGTGCCTTAACATTTTTTTTTTTTTTTTATGTTACAGAAATAAGCCATGTTTCAAAGCTATCTTGCTTGCAAGCAGTAAAAGATCTTCAGTATATAATCATCAAATCAATCATAACCGGAAATAAAAGAGTAAAAAATGTGTGACTACTTTTATTACAAAACTTCACCAGCAAAATAATTTAAGCTACTCAGTAAAATCTGAGGATGCAATTATTAAAGCACACAATTTTTTTTTCACTCAGATATATCATGTAGGCTTGATACTTTGCTTCCTTAATAGATCAATATTAATTTTTAAGATTAAAAAAACCCATATATTTTTCTAGAATAAAATACTTTTAAATCATATAATTTTTTAACTAATAAAATATTTGTTTTGATGCCAGCATGCACAAACTTCAAACAATTAAATGAATTAAAACAACTTCTATATTATTAAAATACAAATTCTAAAATATTTAAAAATTTTACTTAGTGAAAAAAAGGCTTTAGCTTTCACATTAAGATAAATTACACAATAATTTATAAGAAAAAACAAATTTATTAAATTTCATGATAAAATGAATTTGAGCAGTTAATGATGTGAACTTATGAAAAGAATTGGAAAAATTGATGATTATCATTACAACAAAGAAAATTTAAAAATATCTAACTATTTTTTATAAGCGCAAGAAAATGAAATATTAAGAATACACTTGAATTAGAAACATATTCTAATAATTTACAGTCTTTTAAGAAAACATAAATGAAGAAATTATTAAAAATTAACTTTAAAAACTAACACAGCAAATTTTAATTTAATGCAGAAAAAAGCTGCTACGTTAAAATCACATTTAAGAACTACAACACATATTAAAATTTCTCTAAAAAATAAAAGATGAATATTTTTGAAAAGTAAAAAATACCAGTACAGATGACTATGAGAAAGCTACTCACAGGATGCATGCTTTTTTTTTACTGACACCTTCAGAGAAATTTCTAAGGGAAAAGTTGGTAAAATTAAGACTTCCAATAATTTGCTGAACGGAGAATTTAGAAAGAAGACTAACTTACAATTTCACTTGATTTCTTTAATTACTTGGAAGCCCTTTAAGTATATAATTAAAATTTCACTTAGAGAAGTGCATTCAAAATCTTAACTTCCGTCTCTAAAACGTAAAGGCTCACATTATCGAAAGAATTTCAGTAATTACAGTTAAAATATGTGGTCTGTTGCAATCTTTAGGCATAAATGCATTAAAAATACCCTCATAAATGTTCCAATGGCAGTGTTAAATAAATCACATGCCGCACTACAATCACAAATCACATAAATCATTTTAAAAACATTAAAGCTAATAGCATTTTACCTGCTGTTGTGTCAAAACAGGTAAGCCTCTGCAGTAATTTAACAGATGAACAGGATCAAATATTCACTATTCCAATAGATATTTAAACTTTCACACCTACATAAAAACTAGATCAAGTAACCGAATTTCCAATTTGTGGCAATTTACTATGAGAATTTAAAGTGGCACTCATATCATCTCCTATAGTTGTAACAACCGTTCGGGCTTTTGTACCACCTATGGTGTTCATTTTAGCAATAATACTGGTTCGAGTTGAACCTCCATTCTGATATAATGTTTTTGACCCTGCATTATCAACATCTGAGTTTTCAGGGGCTTTCGGTAAACGACGGCGCAGCCAGGCATGTCTTAAAGCAGCAGGTGGAGTAAGTCTAAGAGCTGGATCCCATTCTAAACAACCTTTTAAAAAGTCAATAAATAGCACATCATTACAGCCTTTCAATGCAGTGGACCAATCTCTACTACCAGGAGGTCCTCGCATTTTTCCACGCCGTGACCTTCCACCAGTCAGGACTACAGAACCGTCTGGCATTGTTGCAGATGTGCAATATCTTGGATGGCCCTTCGAACTTATGAAGGTTTTAGCTCTTTTTGACTGCTCCAGCAATTTCGGAGGCGGCATGCCAATTAATTCAACTATGCATGCCAGCTGATCAGCTTCATCTTCGCCAGGTAGCAATGGATATCCTGTCAAGAGTTCAGCTAAAATACAGCCCAAACTCCACATATCTATTGCCATTCCATATTTACCACCTAGAATCACTTCTGGAGCACGATAGAATCTTGACTGTATGTATGAATACACTCGTTGGTTTTCATAGCAACTAGATCCAAAATCTATCACTTTGATGCCACTGCGACCAGCTTGTTTTAGCAACACATTTTCTGGTTTAAGATCACAATGAATAACTTTATTACGATACAATACATCTAAACACTGCAGCAAAGAATGGGCAAATTTCCGAACAAGTTGAATGTTAAAACCTTGAAATTTGTTTTTTTTAATCAATTCATATAAATTAATACTGAGCAGTTCAAATGTTATGCACATGTGATTGCGGAATGTGAAATGTTCCAACATGTGAACTATGTTCATCGTATTATCCTTATCCTGCTTTCTTAAATGATCTAGAATTCTGATCTCTTCTTGAGCTTGTCGATGAAACCTCTTTTCATTTCTAACAATTTTGAGAGCAACATTTTGGTGACACTTGTGATCATATGCTTTAATTACTTGACCAAAGCTACCTTTTCCAATAATTTTTATCATTTCATACCTATAAGCAATGTGGTCGTGCGGTGTATGTAAATAGGAACCTTGTTCATCATCGTACCCGCTGTTATTTGGGGCTCCTATGACGCCAAGTCGCTTTTTTGCATTGGCCCCTATAAAATAGACTTGAGGATAGGAAAATATTTCATGGTGCTCGTATGGCGTCAATTTGTGCATATATAATTTCATTACCTGTTGCGGTGAGGCACCAAGACTTTTCTGCGGCTTGGAGTTTTTGTTGCTTAGCTGATCATTGCTGCCGTTCGAGTTCGGGCGCACATCAGGCAGTTGCGCCGAGTTATCCGAGACGCCATTTTGAAACACTTTACTAGCTTGCTTGTATCGAGAAATAGAATCGCTTTTCTCCAAACACATATTAGATCCATTTTTACTAGAAATCTGGGGTAAAAATGACTCATTGCTAGGTGATATCGCAGTTCCATTAGTGATCAGTGACTTAGTCCGCGACAAGGGCATGCTAGCACTCGCTCACATACAATCCGTAGTGATCATACACACGTAATTTCACAAAAAATGGATAAATTTCCTAGTTGGAAGTCCCATCCAGGCACATGATCCTTTACACAAGCAGCTTTAGCGATGTACGATGACATTGGTGACACTCTGCGTCTCTTTAAACTTAATAAACAAGCAAAATAGTATAGCACAAACTAATCCTCAATGCAGCTCATTACTAACCATCATTCGGGTCGCTGCTCTCAGAGGCAACTGACTGTTGCTACGCTCCGTTGTTACCCAGAGCTACGTCACTGCACGTCATGCGTCAACGACCAATAAGAGAAAGGTTTATTTCCAGCATTACCAGAAGAGTGGCCTAATCAGCTGATTACAAATTTACGAGTTTTGAAGAAAATAGAAAATCTAAATGATCTTTTTGAAAGCAATAAATTATGAATAAATATTGCTGTAGTTCGTAGTAAAAATTAATTATTGCTTATTCATTATAAATGAATGTTAGCTGCATTCAGGGCCAAGTTAACAACGTAGGACGATTTCTAGTGTGTACGTGTGAGTACGAGTATAAATTTTCTTAGCTTACCGAAAAAGCTTCTACTTTAAACAGTAGCATTCAAAATATTAAATGAATGAGCACGATAGTAAAAAATGTAGTAATAAAAATAAATATGAAATATCTCTGGTTATAAAATTATAGATATCAAACATCTTATTCCACCCCCTTCCACACACACACACACTACAGTGCTTTAAATTTAAAACAAAAGTGGTTCTTTATTTTTTACCTGCTGCAGCAGCCAAAATATGAGTATTAAAAAAAATTCTGAAAGTTTTCAGATTTTATATTACGTCCAAAGAGGCTTTTCTTTTTTTTTCTTTTTTTAACGTTTTATGTGTTACCTTTATTTATTAAATATCATGTTTTTCGCACTTAAACCTTGTAACATTCAATTCAACAGCAATACCACAAAATATTTAAAAACAGTATATCTTTAGAATTTCCGATTGACAGTCTCGCACGCATGAGATTTTTTTTTTTCCCCTACAGTGTTGTTATTGCTCGCTTTGAAATCGTCGAGTTTGTTAATAAAAAATCCGTGAACGTTTTACTAAATATGAAATAGATAATAAAACAAATTCGAAATCCAAAATTCGGGCATCCAGATGCCCATGTTCGGGTGGATGATTACGTTATTCCAAATTTGATGGCTGTACGTACTGTCAATTTTTCACAATGCTAGAAACATACACACATTCATGTAAATTTTTCATTATTTAATTTCTTTAAATATAATACAGGATGATAATATTTGGTGGCAACAATCTGAAAAGTTATTCAGCCGTTTACAGTGATTCTCGTCTCGCAAAATCCCGTCTCGAGACTAATAGCCCTTCTGAGCTAAAGCTCCTTTGGGCTAAAAAGCAATACACAATCCTATGTAATAAAACAATTATTTATTATTTCTAGTAATAAGTAATTAAAATAAAGCGCATAATCAAATAATCTAGATGTTATATATATATTACTATTACTGGATCTCGCATGGGCTGAAAAACGATAATTATTAATGGAAGATATTATCTGTGTGCTTTAATTTAAGTGCGATAATATATTTTTCTAAAGATGTTTTAATTTTTAATTCTAACCTATGATAAAACATTATATTTTATTAAAAATACATGGTTTATTTTAAATAATGATTTTTTTAATATTTATTATTGACCTTTTAGTCCAAAGGGTGTTAGCTCAGAAGGGCTATTAATTTCGTTTTAGCATTTTACGACATCCAGTTTTGAATAACAAACGTCTCCACCCGAATATGGGCATCTGGAAGCCCGAATTTGGAATTTGTTTTATTATCTATTTCATATTTTGTAAAACATATATGAGTTTTTGATTAAGAAATTCAACGATTTCAAAGCGAGCAATGGCAGCACTGTACGGGAAAAAAAAGAATTATTTCCAGCCCGCGAGACTGCGAATCGGAAATCTAAAGATATGCTCATTTTAAATTATTTTGCGATATTGCTGTTGAATTGAATTTTATGGTTTAAGTGCGAAGAACGTGATCACACAAAACGTTAAAAAAAACGCCCCTTTTGGGTGTAATGTAAAAACTGAAAGATTTCAGACTTTTTTTAACTAAATTTGTTTAGTAGATTGTCTCAATACTTGACGGATATTAGAAACTGACTTTCAAAGAGTGGTGATTAATCCATTTTCCTCTGCATATGAATAATATTATGACTTAGAAGTATATGTAATATAAAACAGACGCATTAAGAAATACTCAGATCTTTCTGACCATCATAAGTTATATGAATTAAAACTTAATAAAGCTATTATAAACTATTGCAATATTTTATGTCAGATAAAGGCAGAGAAAATCTATAATAAAGTAGTCGCTATAAAAAAGTAGTATAATAAGCGCTGAATTTTAAATAATTTTTTTATATAATTCGAATTTCATAATAAATGAGATAACAGACGAAACGAATTTTATTACAGTATTAAAAGCAAACGATAATAAATATACTAAGCAAAAAATAAATGTAAATAAGAAAAAGAGGTAAAAACTTAAATAAAAGCCGAAACAGTGAAAGAACCAGTTCATAAGCTCTGCCTACATGAGTTGCACCCCACGCTTCGTCAAAACTCGATTTCTATTTAGTGGGTTCAGCTTCTTGAACTTTTGCTTTCATGTGCATTCCATTTCACCTCGCAACCACGCTTTTTTATACGATGCGAAGGCAACACTTTCTTTTTCGAACCAAAATAATTTAGCAGACAAATAGCTTTGAAGTTAAATGATAAATTATTCTATTTTCCCGTGTTCAAATTTTAATTTAACGAAATTTAAAATTAATCAAAATGGGCAAAAATATCGTGAGGGTTTTTTTTTTTTTTTTTTTTAAATCGTTTTACTGTAAATTATGTAGTCTAAGGTTATAGAATTTTGATGTGGAGCTATAGGAAAAACTTATTCACTCACCTCTCCATTTTTAATTCTTACACGGCTATACACGAATATCATATTATTTAGTAATTCTTCAAAATAATGCAGACTTATTAAATAATATAAGTATTATTCCTACAGTAAGACGCAATTAAAGAGCTGCCTCCAAGCAATACATTTTTTCTAAAAATTTTTTGATTGCTGCTGTCGTTTAAGAAACGACTTTATTTCAGAAATTTAAAGGCTTATTTATTTGTGATTAACCTGATAATAAATTCAACGATAATGATAATAATAATAATAATAAAAGAAAAAAGCATTCTGTGTTTTTTCCTGAAAGTGTAGAAGTATTATTTATGTTTGAAAAACGCACACTTGTTTAATTTAATATAGTAATATCAACAGATTAGAAGTCAAGTCATACTTGAAATACAAAGGACTTATCACATAATGCTCCGGTTCCTCTTTTTTTTTTTTTTTTTTTTTTTTTTTTTTTTTTGTCTGTCTACCAGCGGCCGAGCCATAAAGTCGCTGAACACTAGTAGTTCGGTTTGGGGTTCGAATCCCGGCGAACAGGCTGGCTGCATGCACGCTTTTGTGGTTCTCCCCCCCCCCGTGACGTGTATACGAGCCAGTTTCCCATAGAAAATCCTTCACGAAGGCATCTCCTCCTTCAGACAGATAGCTCTCGAGTGCTTTAAAACCAAACCGAAGTTTCTTTAAGTAGCGCTTTAGAATTTAACATTTTGCAAATTGCCAATGATATCGGATTAAAGTGGACAAATCAAATTTAATATTATTTATTTTCCTCTAAACGCAGTCAAATTATGCAGTTTCTGAAAATTTCTAACAGTGAAGATTAGTTCATCCTTTTCAGCCTTGAGAGAATAAACTCTTTTAGCGTTAGGAAATTAGGTGTTTTGTTTAAGAAGTCACACGATATTTTAATTTTAAATTGCATGCAGTATGATCTAGAATTTGAGGAAATTTAACAATTTTTACTAATCAAAATATCCATAATTTAACTGCATATTTCAGTCTCATAAATACTGAAATAAAATGTATCTCATGAATACTGAAATAAAGAGTTACATTCTTTAATTATTATTATTATTATTATTATTATTATTTATTTATATTTATTTATTTATTTATTTATTTAATTTTTTCGGAATACGTTTTATACTAATAGAAATGCTTCAAAATGCTACTTGATTTTAAGTCCATCGTATTTATTTCTCAGAAAAGTTTAACTTCATATAAATAGATATTCATAAATTCAATAAACTATGTGTAATTTATTTAGTTGCGCTGTGAATGAGTATAAGTCCGCTAATTAGAAATGTAACGTGTTTTATGCATTCACATCGAAATTAATGCACTCAAATTAACTTACATATTAATTACATATTCTCTTCAAAAATAAAGTATTCAAATTACATTAGAAATGACATACATAATCCATGATCTATTTCTTTGCAAAGTTACGAGACGTAACTTTGAAGTCTAAGTAATATTAAAATTAACAGTGAGAAACAGAAATGTAGTACAAAAATGTTATATATTTCATGAATCCTTCACCTCATAAATTAATTCTCGATAAGTAAACTATTTCAAAAATAAATAAATCAATTTGTCTCATAAATTGAATATATGCAAAGAATAAATATTTCGTTGCATTACTGCATCTTATGCACGTTGACTAGGCTGCGTACTTTATGCAGAGATCTTTTTTTCTTTCTTTCTTTCTTCTTTTTTTTTTTTTTTTTTTTTTTTTTTTTTTTTTTTAAGGCATTCTTAAACTTTGAGCAGTATATCAGCCACAGATCTTAGTTTTAAATGACGTGTATCTCGTATATATACTTGTATTGAGTAATAATTTACACATTCCTCAAAATCTTACATGAGATGACGCACTCGGCAGAAGATCAAAACTAATAAGCAGAATGTAGTTAACTCGAATCCAGGACAGTTCACATTGTTTACTCTTTTTGCCTTGTCTGGTCTTGTTTCTTACTTAATTTTTTTATTTTTTTTTCAAATATGTATCTTAGTTCAGCATCGTCAGTGCGCGATAAGAAGTTAAAGGAGATCCGTAATTCGTTTCTTAATCTTAAATATTAATCAAATCATTAACAGATTTATCTTGACCTCTTTATAGACTTAATTCGTTTATGAATGACAGTTGAAATATAAAGCGTACACTATTTTTGATGTTTACACGACTTAAAATCGCCAATAGTAAGGCATTCTTCATGATGTTCGAAAAC